ATACTCCTTTGTTGCCGCAAGGCATCCTCTCAAAGTGTTGTTGCCAACCAAACAACCCACACGTCTCTGCGGAGGCGCACGTATCCTCAATGCTGCGACGAAACGAAGACGTTGACTCAACCATGCCCAACGATAAAAATAAAACCCCCCCGCCCCCCCCCCGTCACGCATGCACAAAATTCGACGATTGCACGGGAACACTTTTCCGGGAGTGCATATATATGGGTGTTATTCGTTGCCAAACATTTCCTTCTCGATGCCGACCAACATTTTGCGCAGGAATCTAACTCTCGTCTGATAACCCTCTGCTTTTTCTTTCTCCTCCACAATTTTCTTCGAGAATTCGGCGTGGGACTCGGTCATTTCCTTGTGGAGGGCGAGGCCAGAAGCTTTGCTGTCGTGTTCAGCTGTCTTGCAAACGTGTTCCTCTTTTTTTTTTACCACTCTGATTTTTCCGATCCGCCAACCTTTTCCAGCAGTGGCTCAATATCGGCGAGTGCGATTTTTATGGCATGGGCGTTGTTGCTCTTGGCGTGGGTTTATCACGTCTGTTGTGGGAGTCCTCGGGTCTCTTGCCTGGTCGGGACCGGTGTGTGTACGTCGAGCCGTGGCGCTTTCCGTAAATTTTGAAGAATACGCGCCTTCGCGCCTTCGCGCCTTCTGCCGATAAGAACCACCGGAAACCCTAGTTACGGTTCCGTGAAAAAAGTTACGTATTTTTTCGGCCTGATAATAATACCCCTACCAACGTAAAAAAAAACCGGTAAAATGGCGGTATTTTTCTGGCGATACCGAAATATGGCGCGTATTTTTCGGTGGTTCCCGGTACTGCCAAATACGGCTGTATTTTATGGCTGTATTTTTCTGGCGGTACTGAAATATGGCGGTACCGCCTTCGGCGGTTTCGGGTACCACCAAAATATGGCGGTACTGCCTTCGGCGCGGTCCCCGTATCAATCACCAAAGTATTATGGCATTTTATTTTTTCTGGCGGTACTGAAACATGAAGAAAAGAGGTGTGCTCTATACACTACTAGTAGCGCCGGGATTCCCATCTAACACGCTAATTGCTCTGTCTGCTGGACGTTGGGGCAGTGCGTGTGTGAGTGAGGGCAGGAGGCACCCATCACGGCATCACGGCAGCATCACGGGAAAGATAAAAGATGTTCTACCGAAAAGGAACATGACAGAACCAAAAAGAAGACAAGAAAAAAAAAAAGTGTCACACGACTGCAGAAGAAGGAAAGAGACAAGAAAAAGAAGAGATGTGAATTGTGAATGCCACCTCAGACTGTCGTAGATTGTGACGTCAGATGACCTGTCGGAGATCTACCTTCGGGGTGTTACCGCAGATAGAGTCAGTGCAGGTTGGATCCTGAACCTTGCTTCAACACAAGGTTGATCCCCACCTGACACACTTCTCCACGGCCTGCCCCCCCCTTCCCTGGGGTAGGCCGAGGTTCCGCAAGTGGATCTAGACCTCGGAAGACCACCCAGCAAAGACGGATATATTTACGGTCCCTAGCACATATTTTTTTTTCTCCATCATTGGACTCTTTCGTCTGCCTCTCTGGCCCCTATCCTCCACTTGTACTAGCTAGACGACCCAACCGGGGTCACATAGATAGGAGGATTGGACTCTGTCATCTGCTCCTCTGGCCCCTATCCTCCAGTTCTACTAGCTAGACGACCAACCGGGGTCACATAGGAGGGGGGGGCTGGACCCCCTCCTGCGGTTCCTGCCTGAGGTATATTTATCGCGAGAAGGGTACAGCAATCCCTTCCCTCGCGGCCTACGAAGTCGATTATGGTTTACTAACAACGAGCTTTGCAGCGCGTCGCTTTCATCCTAGACTTGGTGACCAGGATTTATTTAGTGAGAAAAAAACTCACTCTGCCGGGACTCGAANATTGGACTCTGTCATCTGCTCCTCTGGCCCCTATCCTCCAGTTCTACTAGCTAGACGACCAACCGGGGTCACATAGGAGGGGGGGGCTGGACCCCCTCCTGCGGTTCCTGCCTGAGGTATATTTATCGCGAGAAGGGTACAGCAATCCCTTCCCTCGCGGCCTACGAAGTCGATTATGGTTTACTAACAACGAGCTTTGCAGCGCGTCGCGTTCATCCTAGACCAGGATTAATTTAGTGAGAAAAAAACTCACTCTGCCGGGACTCGAACCCATGACCTGGCCCTTAGCAGGCTGCGAGGCTACCCACTAGACCACCGGGGCGACCGGTGTTTTGTTTGTTTTTTTGTGTTTTTCTCCCGTCATTGGATTCTGTCGTCTGCCCCTCTGGCCCCTATCCTCCACTTCTACTAGCTAGACGACCCAACCGGGGTCACATAGGAGGGGGGGGTTGGACCCCCTCCTGCGGTTCATGCCTGAGGTATTTTTATCGCGAGAAGGGTACAGCAATCCCTTCCCTCGCGACTTACGAAGTCGATTATGGTTTACTAACAACGAGCTTTGCAGCGCGTCGCTTTCATCCTAGACCAGGATTTATTTAGTGAGAAAAAAACTCACTCTGCCGGGACTCGAACCCATGACCTGGCCCTTAGCAGGCTGCGAGGTTACCCACTAGACCACTGTTTAGAGGGGGATCCTGAGTTTGGCGGTTGGGAGTTACTGGTGTCATGAGATCGGGGTAGCTCCTGAGCCGCCAGCTTTGGTAGCTGCAAAATGAGACTGGATCCTGACGCCCCGGCTTGGACACCGGGGCTATGAAGCAGCAGAGAGCACGGTGAGGGTGGCGGAGTGACCGCACGCCGTGGTGGGGGTATGCCCCAGAGAGAGGAAAGGAGAGAGTCCAGAGATGGAGGGCCACACCGCTCCGGGACAAGAAGACAACTCCATGGGAAACAAGGCAAGAACCGGGGTAACTATCACGTTTTTCTAGGGTAAGTTAGTCTGCGACCACGGGAATCGACCGCGTCGAGTGTTGGATCAGTACGGACATACGAANTCAACTCAATCAACTATCCGTTCATCAGCCTCTCCACCAGAGGTTGAACCGGTGTGTATCCACACCACCCATCCCTAAGGGAACTTGCTCACACGCGAACCTGGAGACGACCGTCTCATAATGGCGTCAGCGGCGTTACGTGTGTTTGTCGAGTTCTTTGTACGTTGGTGGCACTGCCTTGCGGCAGTTGTCATCATGGGGAATCTTAAAAGAACGAAAAAGAAAAAATCTGGAGAGGTCCACTCCCAGGAAGAGCAAGGGGACCAAGAGCAGCTCGTTGACCTCGAGCCGGAAGGAGAGGACGAAGACCAACACGTCCCAGAATCAGCCCGATCTACTGCTGCTCTCTCTTCCAGCGGCGTCATCTGTTTTAATGCCGGCCGCAGCGTGCAGCTCCGATAGGCAGCTGCCTGGCGGCGAGATTCCAACAATCAATCCCACCGCAAGATGCGGCGCGTCTTCCAGCACCGCCTGGTTCCCCTCGGCTTCCGTAATCTGGCATTGCCTGCAGCAGCGATGACATCTTGTCCATCACCCCCTGCATCCAAAATCCCTGCGCAATGCTTCCCAGCGGGGGTCCAGCGGATGGGTGGTCCGGGGGACCTACTCCCCCGACTCCACTGGGTGGCACCCCAAACCGTGTGCCCGGCGCGGCCCCTTCGCGCCCTGCGGCGTTGCCAGCACCGTTTGACTCCCCCTCTTCTGCCCCCGCCGCCCTGGCAGGCGGCATCTGAAGTTGCCCTAGCTTCGCCATGACAGCCGACAGCACCTTGCTTTGCTCCTCCAGCCTCTTGGACAGCTCCGTCACGCGCGTGTCGATCGTAGTTCCGCCGCTATCGCTCGCTGGGGTATCGCCAGGCATAATCTCTGCAAANCCCGGCGCGGCCCCTTCGCGCCCTGCGGCGTTGCCAGCACCGTTTGACTCCCCCTCTTCTGCCCCCGCCGCCCTGGCAGGCGGCATCTGAAGTTGCCCTAGCTTCGCCATGACAGCCGACAGCACCTTGCTTTGCTCCTCCAGCCTCTTGGACAGCTCCGTCACGCGCGTGTCGATCGTAGTTCCGCCGCTATCGCTCGCTGGGGTATCGCCAGGCATAATCTCTGCAAAGGGTCTCCTTCGAAGGAAACTCTAGAGTATTCGTCAACCGTAAGTGGTATGCCCTTGTTGTCTTTGTAGAGACTGTAGTGCTTGATGTTTAGATGCTTGTTATCTCTCACACTCGGTTGGGGGGAACGAGCAGGGAGTGCCACACACACGACAGCTCACAGCAGCTGGCGTGGGAGCTCCGCACAATCATTCTCTGGTCGTACTATCCAACGCATACCTATGTGCAGGGCACCTGAAACAGTCATCTCGTCTACAGATCCGACTACATGCGCACTCACACGAACACGAGGAAGTTGTAGCAGCCGTTCATTGTGTGAGTAGACCGCGCCAGGTTGTACGGTATCAACTTGGAAAGAGAGCAAAACTGGACTGGACTTCCGGGAGTGTAATCATGCAACCAAACAACATTTGCGAGAAGGGGCGAAGCCAACGAGAGTCGTTATAGGCAACAAAGTCTTGAGAGGGATGTTCAGGGTCGTTTTACTGGTGATGCCGTAAGGATCTGGATCCAGCGCCATCAACGTACCGTGTTTTGCAGGCGTGCGTCACCAACGGTAGAAAACGTGAGGCACGAAATTGCAGAACCAAACGACTACTACGCGCGAAGCCGACGAGTGTCGTTGTAGGCAACAAAGTCTTGCCAAGGATATTCAGGGTCGTTTTACTGGTGATGCGGAAAGGGTCTGGATCCAGCGCCATCTAAGTACCATGTTTTGTGTGCATGCGTCACCGACGGCAGTAACGTGAGGCACGAAATTGTGCAACCAAACGAGACTGATACGCGCGGAGCCGACGAGAGCTGGTGTGGGCAACAAAGTGTTGACAGGGATGTTCAGGGTCGTTTTACTCTCTGGATCCAGCGCCAATGTACCATGTATTGTAGGCGTTCCATCACGAACGCAAATAATTGGATTAGGCCGAACATACGGCCGAGCCGTATCCTGATGAATATTTACTGTCACTCGTGTTGTGCTTGTGCTTGTCCCTGCTCGTCAGATGGGGGGGCGGGGACCTGATTCTTGCCCGTGTCGGACGCACGGACTCGTTTTGACATGTCTTCATGACAATAGTCATGTGCCCGAGTGCTTTCGTGCAATCGGTTGGTCCAAAAAACTTGCACCGCAACAGCCAAGGCCAAGCGTCGTTTGTACATGCCTAAGCTCTGCTGCCCGCGGGTGTCTTCAAAGTTGGAGCCCATTCCATGCCGAACGAACCCACCTGAGTTTTAAATTACCAGCGTGGCGACGTACGTGGAAGAGCAAGATACATCATGATGCGGGCTAGCTAGGCTGTGGGTGACACCCGCTGGATGTCTCCCGCAACGTAGAATACAGTAGTAGACAAGGATGCCGTATATCCATTTCGCACAGCTGGGACCCTTCGCCCACACGATACGGGCTTTCAAACAACAACGGCAAAACGGCGCCGCGAGACTGTCCTTGTGTCCTCAAAAACAGATGCAGCGCACACGGAGAAAGTGCAGGGATGTAACGCTAAATACTCCAGCTCACTTTGTAACCCGCTGCTACCGCTTGAGCACGCTCGGGCGAGTCCGCCGTGAGAAGCGGGTTGGTGTGGTTGAGGTGTATGAGAACAACTTCGGCCTTACAGCCAGCTAGTTGAGCCATGGTCTCTGTTGCGATGGGGTGAGACACCTGCACGGGAACGGACGAAACGAACGAAGCTTGCCAATTTCCCTGTCGTAGTTACCGTTTGGCAAGCAAAGTGAATACTTTTCAAGAGAATGTACATGCTCCCATTTTACTAGGCTCGGGTTACACACACGCTGTACCACCAGCACGCCAAAAAGGCAGGCACTATCTGCATTCCAAAAGAAAGGGGGTTGGCTCACAGCAAAAACAAGCATCACACTGCACTACCTCGCTCATATCACGGCCCTTCAGCTCCCCCTTGCCGTGAAAGGTCGCGTCCAGTAACGCCACGTCTACCTCATTGCACCAGCTGCTGATGCTCCGTTTCCAGTCCGACCTGTTGCAGAACAAAGCGTCAGTCATGCTGCTAACGCTTTGTGCATCGGCAACAGCAAACGTATGACTGTGCTAATAAACAGTTTTCGGAGAAGCGTCAAAGCCATCGAATCAGCGAATACGTGTGAACATTCTCCGACTACACGCCCGTCGAAAACTCGAGTATCTCGTTAAAGTTAAGATGGAGAGCCTTGTTGTACTTGTCATGAGCCCATTAGTCCCATGTGCGCTTCTTTCTGGTGTGCCAGGAGGATGACTTACCCCCAGTGCCCCCCAGTTGCCACGTTCCACAACGATTTGCCTGGGCCACGCAAGGGCCACATCCAACCGTCGTCTATTTCAAGCATACGAGTAAAAGTCACTCTGTGAGTCTGCCCGCAGACTGTAGACGCGCAAACGCTTTGAACCATGTTTACAGGCTACAAGCCTGGCACGCTATCTCTGCGCAATCAACATGCTTGAAAGCAGTACCTTAAAAAGTCTAAAGTGAGCATAAACCCCCATGTACTACGTATTCTCAGGAGGCCACACCCTGCCTGAGCGCAATTACCCTCTCTCGGGTTGCAATTGGCGCAAACGCAAATATCGGGTACATGGCAGACGGCAACCCCATGAAAAATCATCGTGTGATGCCGTAAGCAACCTGACTCAAGATATCCATCGTGGAGTTGGTTCAATAAGTATTCCCAAGTTCTCACCAGCCATCCGTGTCGGGGCAGTAAAGGAGCTTCATCGTATCGTTTTCGCCACTTGAGACCTCTGCGGGAGGTCCAAGATCCAGCTTAGGCGCGTGAGAAACGGCCGTATCGGAGGCATCCACAGCTCGCGATGCCACTGAAACCACGTACGCCACCGTATCGGAAAGTTCCGCCCGGTGGGGAACAGGCACGGGAAGAACGGACAGCGAGCGCGTGAGCTGAACCGGCACCGCGTCTTTGGAGTTGTCGGTCGCGTCCATGTCCAACTCCTGAATGGCGATGTTGCCTCGGTCCGTCAGCTGGCGCCAGGGCTGATTGCTGCGCAAAAAGGATGCCATGCTCGGGGTGCAGAAAACCTGCTCCCACACGACCATACGTAGGTTGTGGCCGTGATTGCGAGTTGGAAATCGGACCACGCATACAACCTCAAGGGATTACAGCTGATTGGTTCAGAGATTGGACTAGCCGGAAGATTTGGCAGCAAAGCGGTCAGTGGGAGTCGCAAACTTCGTATGTTTAGCAGTGCTTGGTGCTACCAATACAATCACTCACCGGCACACCCCTCATGTCTGCTTCCTCTTTGCCGAGTTGAAGTAATCCAGTATAGTGCCCAATATGTGCATGGGTCAAAAGTATACCCCCAAGCTCCAACGGGCGTCCACTGTCACCTGCCGTGTACGTTGACCGGCCGACCCACAAACCCATGTAAGTGCCAGTAAGCGTGGGTACACCACCACCACCACTTGCGCACGGCATATTCGAAAGCAAGTCCAGCACAGAGCATTGTACCCTCCCTAAGCTACCGTACCACGGTCTGGTGTCGTTGTCAACCATAAGAAGCCACCAGAGCGAGAAACAGCGATATGCAGCAAATCGCTAAGCCAAGATGAAGAACGAGTACACCAAGCGACTGTCACACCTTTTCGTTTCGGGTGCTGGATGTACCAAAGTTGCTCGCGGAGATCTGGGGTTGCATCGATGAGAAACACCTGGGGGTCGAATCAGGAATCAGTCACAGCATTGTCTGTCTTCACACGCCAAAGACGCGGCAAGTATCCATCACTTCATGGTGAAAGAGTTGTCTCATCTGGATGGCCGTTCCATCCCCATCCACCCCCTTTCCACCACCACGCCATTCCCGAGCATGTACGGAGAGTTCAAGCTGATGCGCACCAATCGCTCACGAGCGTTCGTAAACTTACGCCATCAAACTTGCATCAAAGCGCACTAAACCGTTCTGCCCGGAGTATCATCCAAAAAATGAAATCTACTCACCTTTCCCTCTGTTTCATCCGCCAGGGCTAAGCACACAACCAGCCCATCTTTAAAGTCAGGATTGCGTCGAGCGTACTCGCACCGGTGGCAGCCGCATCCTATCTGTATGCAACGCGTGTCGATACCATGCGTTGATACATTACCCACAGCAGTACAAGTTCGTGTGTGCATGAGCGGATGAGAATACTCCAACCGGACTCTAGGAAGTGGCTACGCAGATAGGAATTGATGGCCCCCTGGGTTGGTTTCATGGTTGATCCACGGGACTCTGGTCTGCGGAAGTGCTTGCTATGTCACGGCACTCTCTCTCTCTCCTGCCGCGTCCTGATCGTGTCTGCTGTCCTAAATACAAATGATACCATCACCTTCAACACACATACATGGGTATACTAACACTCTAGAGTGCATCTCTCGAGGGAACCCGTGCTGGAGATGAGTGGCGCCGATGTTACAGCAGGGACTGCCGACGTCACCACTAGTACGCAGGGCAGAGTTGACAACCTGGAGAGCAAAGTTTCAGGCCTGACGGACGAGGTACAGCAGCTGGCAGGGCCTTTCCAAGCCGCCCTCGGAAAGTTTAAGAAGGAGGGGGAGTCCGGCGGCGCTGGGGTGGGCGCTGTCGTTACGGGCGCTACTTCTGCCCGCGGTCTGCTGAAAGAGGGGCCGCACAACGACGTAATCACGCCGCCCGCGCAGCACGGGGAAAGAAGCATCAGACCGGGAGCTAGCCTGGTAGTGCCAATGATCCCTGCTGGAGTGGACTCGGGCATAGGGCCGGGCAGCGGGGACGTCAGGGGGTCATCATCCCAAGAGCAGCCTGCAGCGGTGGGCGCTTGCATAGACTACACGGGTGCAGAAGAGATCACCAGCAGAAGGCCGGTTGCGGAAGGCGAACCGGTGTGGGCATTTCAGGTCCCTGCTAACGGTGGGTTTGGTAGATTCCAGAACACCGAATGCCTCTACAAGATAGGCAGCGCTGGTAGAGATGCAGCCGCCGCTCGAGGCACTGGCCGACGAGTCAGAGCAACGTACTCATCACGTCGAGAATAGCTGTACGGCGCTGAAGGGGGTGCCGCAGACTGCACACCAAGTGTGCCTGTTGACCGCGGGAAAGTGCTTGCGTCTAGAGAGCTGGGGCAGCATGCATCCCCGCGACGCCGTCGGTGCGCCATCAAAAAGACCAGGTGAAGCTAGATGTAGCACGTGAGGCCTTGTAAGAAGAGGCGGGGGAAAGACACAATAGCCGCGCAGGTCACTGCGCGCGCACCATCCACACACAGCAGCAGCAGCAGCAGGTGATGGTGAAGATGACACCATTGCAGCAGCGTGGAAGGGTGGAGACACAGAAAACCGGCCGCAAGGCCGTGTGCCCACAGCCGCGACGGAAGGGGCGTGGGGGGGCAATATTCAAAGCATACGGCGAGATGGCCATGTGCCCACAGCCGCGACGGAAGGGGCGTGGGGGGTCAATATTCAGAGAACACGGCGAGATGGTGGTGTGCCCGTAGCCGCGACGGAAGGGGCGCGGGAGGGCAACAAGCAAAACAGCTCCGTGCCGCCCAGCAAGGAGCGTGGGGGAGAGCATCGTACTTAAACAATAATTGAGGCCCATAGCCGCGACGGAAGGGGCGTGTGGGGGCAATGTTCACAGAACACGGCGATATGGCCGTGTGCCCACAGCCGCNTCCGTGCCGCCCAGCAAGGAGCGTGGGGGAGAGCATCGTACTTAAACAATAATTGAGGCCCATAGCCGCGACGGAAGGGGCGTGTGGGGGCAATGTTCACAGAACACGGCGATATGGCCGTGTGCCCACAGCCGCGAC